TATATATTCTTGATCAGCCATGTCCGTCTGTCTGTCTGTGTGTCTGTCTGTCTGTTGTAATCACGCTATCTTTCGAAAAAATGAGATAGAAGGCTAAAATTTTGCACACATGTATATTTTGCCAGTGGGCAGGTTAAGTTCGTAAATGGGCCATGTAGGTCCTAATTATCATATAGCCCCCATATAACGGTACCTCCCGATATTCGGTATTTTGATGATTTTGGCGACATTATTCACCGGAATTGTTTCCAATTTGGCATTTGAAGTTCGTAATGGATACTACATATTAAGTCAAAAAAATGAGCCATGTAGGTCCACGTCTTCATATAGCCCCGATATAACGGTACCCCCCGATATTCGGCATTTTGATGATTTTAGCGACATTATTTAACGGAATCGCTCCAAATTTGTTATTTGAAGTTCCTAATAGATACTGCAGAAAATGGGCCATGTAGGTCCACGTCTTCGTATAGCCCCCATATACCGTACCCCCCCAATATTCGGTATTTTGATGATTTTAGCGACATTATTTACCGGGATTGTTTCAAATTTCGCATATGAAGTTCGTAATGGATACTTCAGCCCATGTCAGAAAATTGTCTGTGCAGGTCCACGCCTTCGTATAGCCCCCATATAACGGTACCCCTATATTCGGTATTTGATGTTTTTAGCTACATTATTAACAGATTTTTCTTCAAGGTTCGCATTTAAATATTGCAAAAACTTATGACAAAATTTGCCTATGCAGGTCTACGTCGTCGTATAGGCATTCGGTATTTTTAAGATTTTAACAGAATTTTAAACGGATTTTATTATTATTATTATTTTTTTTTTTTTTGGAAATTGCCAAATTTGTACCAGATGGTGGAGGGTATTAAAAGTTCGGCCCGGTCGAACTTACAGCTTTTTTACTTGTTATAACTGTGTTTTTTATGTTAACATGCCTCTGTCATGATCTGTAATTCTAGATAGCAAAGCCATAAGCCATTGTCTCAGAATGCATTTTGCCTAGTCTTTACCATTTTAGGTCTTTGTGTAAAATTAATATCCAGTTTTGTGAGATTTGTGATCTCTTAATATCCAGTTTTGTGAGATCTTTTCCGGCAATAATTGTATAATGCTGCATCACCAACGTAGGCAAAAATTCATTTCGTGATCATTTTCAGGGGCCCAAATATATACGATTTTTCAAGTAAACTGTTCAAAAGAGCTAAAAACTTGTTTCGCTTGGCCGAAAGTGGTGAGCTGCCGAATTTGGTTTTCTCCGATCTGAAAACATTCGTTGTCCAGCAGTTTGTAAACAAACAAAATGATCGTGTTTACTTGCCAAAGAGGCCACCAGGGCCTCAATTCTGGTTCTATTAAAATGTTAAATGAAAACTTTTATAAAGTAAAGAAATGTCAAATGAAAAAATTTTATAAAGGAAATATTTTTCATTTCATAACCAGCACCAGAACTCAAGCGCAGGCCATGGTGATGGTGTGGGCTGATGGTCGCACTCCGCTCGTATTAATCGACCATGGCTTCAGAATAAATGTCAAATATTATAGCGAAAATATTCTGAAGAGTTTATTAAAGCCTTGGCCTCGCAAACATTTTGGCCGCAGACCTTGGACATTCCAACAGGACTCAACACCATCGCACTCAGCACGCGCCACCCAAGAATAGTTAAAAAATTAGGTTCCTCGCTTCATTTCCAGCGCACATTGGCCACCAAAATCTCCGGATACCAATCCGGTGGACTATTGTGTCTGGAGTATTTTGGAAAGCAAGGTTGGCCCTAAAAAATACCAATGTGTCGATCACCTCAAGCAAGCGCTTCGCCAGAAATGAGCCAAAATACCGCAGGGCAACATTCGGGCAGCGAGTGACGGTTTCGTTGGCCGTTTGAAGACCGTAATTCGAACTAATCTAAACTTATTCTAAAATTTGATGCTATTTCCAAAATGTTTTGCTCTCATTAAATAAAATTAAAAAAAAAAATAATTAAAAATTATGGCGTTTGACTTCGTTGCAGTTATTTATCTCACCCTGTATATGTTTGGAAAATGCGTCTGAAACCGAAAATAAATAGCGGGCCTTTATTGAATATTTTGCAGCGAGAGAGTCTAAGAATCTTTAATGTCAATTAGAATACATTCGGAAAATTTCAATGACATATCTAAATCGAATCTAATGTGGGTCAGAAATATAAACTTTATGTGGTCTCAGAGACATTCTGTTAATTATCTTTTCAATTTGTCTATAAATTTCAATTATTTTTGAAAATAAAACATTTGCAGTTACTTTAAATATCATTTATTTCTTTTCAACACTGAATATTTATTTAATTCAATTGATTTATTGTTTTTCTTTTTTGTTTTGAGTACAATACACAATAAAATTCCGCAAATAGTACATATAAGAACGAAGTCCCAAATTTTGTTTTTTATATCGTTTACATTCTATTTTTATATGGACTTACATATATATATGTGTGTATATATAATTCAATCGTAGTATATACTATTACTAATATAATAAAATGTAAATATGTAGCATGAATAATAAATATCGTTATTATCCAAAAAGGAAAAAGAAGAAGAATCAGTTAGAACTCCCATTTATATATTATCAGAATGCTGCTATGCTTTATAATAAAATCGCTAAAAATAAGTTTTAAATATAAATAACCCTATTTATTTAATGATTTAAAAAAAGATTAAACAAAAAACATTTGAATACGAGTAGTTTTTAGAAAAACAGTTAACTCGATTTTAAAAGGATACCAAGTTATTAGATAAAGCGTTTATGTAGTTCGCGATTCGGAACTGCAATGGAATCGTTAAGTGAATATTAACTGCGATGTAAACGCCTTTCAATGTTCAGTTTTAGTTAGTTCATTGTTTTCTGTTTTGTTTTGTTTTTTTTTTTTTTTTTTTTTAATTTTAACTTTTTATTATTGTCATTTTAATTAGTTAACATGTATGTTATTCAACATTTGTGTCTTTTCTTTTAACGTTTTTTTATAATATATTTTATTATTTAATTCCCATTCATAGCATACACACGGAGTAAAGACTTTCGTTCAGAGGAATCGTCCCACTGAATGTGTCAAGACTCTTAAGCTATATGACGAAAATGGTGAAACATGGAATATTAAAAAAATATGAATTTTTAAAGCTTTCAGAATATGAAAATTTGAATACATGATATTTGTGAGGTTTGTCCGAAGGACCTTCCCAATATCTGTCAGTCTCAATAGAATATTTTCTACCCAGTATTAGAAGCAGAAGCCCTAAATATGTGCTGAAATTGTTTGCCTTTGTCGTGGTTTGACTGAAGCTTTCGTTTTGAAGTTCATTAAATACCGAAACCACAAAATCAATAATTGGCGGCAAAACTTTATCTTGCCTTTGCCGAGTTTTGACCTTTAAGTCATGGGATGTGTAACTTGGCGCACTAACCCCTGTATTTAATAACAACTGTCTCATAGTTTCAAACCCTTTCTCTTGCGCTAATTCTGTGAAATTTATAGCATCCAAATTACGTTGTTATGGAATAAACGGTTCTGCTTACTTTACTCAGAAAACGATCCAAACTCATTCATAAAGTAGCTATGTATTCATCATAAACTACACTTGTCTGCAAGCAGCCCGAGGCTTCCAATACCTTCGCTCCTCAAGAAAATAGTTGTCAAAGGTGAATAAGCGTGAGCTGAACATATCGCAATATTACATTCGGCAAATATTAGTTGATTCGCCTGGCCGAAAGTGGTGAACTGCCGAATTTGGTTTTCTCCGATGAGAAAACATTCGTTGTCCAGCAGTTTGCAACCAACAAAATGATCGTGTTTACATGCCAAAGAGGTCAGCAGAAAATGTGCACCTTCGGTTGGCCACCAGAACTCAAGCGCCAGCCATGGCGATGGTGTGGGCCGCCATAACAGCCGATGGTCGCTTCGCTCGTATTAATTGACCTTGGCATCAGTATAAATGCCGAATATTATCGCGAAAATATTCTGGAGGGTGTATTAAAGCCTTGTACATGCAAACATTTTGGCCGCAGATCTTGGACATTCCAACAGGACTCAGCACCATCGAACTCAGCACACGCCACCCAAGAATGGTTACAAAATGAGGTTCCTCGCTTCATTTCCAGTGCACAATAGCCACCAAAATCTCCGGTTTCAAATCCGTTGGACTATTGTGTCTGGAGTATTTTGGAAACCAAGGTTGGCACTAAAAAATACAAAGTGTCGATCACCTCCAGCAAGCGCTTCGCCGGGAATGGGCCAAAATACCGCAGAGCAACATTCGGGCAGCGTGTGACTGTTTCATTGGCTGTTTGAAGGCCATAATTCGTGCCAAGCGTGACCAATTCAAACAAATCTAAACATATTCTAAAATTTGATAATATTTCCGAAATTTTTTGCTTTCATTCAATAAAATTTAAAAAAAAAAATCTAAAATGATGGCGTATGACTTTGTTGCAGTTTTTTTATCTCACCCTGTATATGAAAAATGCATATAACTCGAAGAAGAAACCCGATACCCCACCCTGCGCTCATCACTGTTTTATTATTAGTTAGCTGAGCAGGTTGGACACCCTTGGTTTTAAATATGTTTATTATAGGCTCTATACCATTTTTCCACCGCAATAAGGGTAGACTAATGTTTCATCCCACTGGATCTAAAAATTCTACTGAAAAACAATCATTTAAATATTCTAAAATAAATATTCTAAAAAAATAATGTAGAGTGACTAGATTATTGAAGATTTTTTAGTAGGTAAAGAGCCGTGGCACGTGAGTTCCTTGGTGAAAAATTCACCCACAAATAAACTGTCTAAAGAAAATACTCAAATCTTATTATGGACATAAAATCTAAGATGGTTCTGGGTGTGCAATTAACTTAAAACAATAATATTTAGTAATAAATTTATTTGTTTTATTTATTTCCTGACAGAAAGAAAATTCTTTAGACAAAATCAAGTGAGAAAAAATTAAAACACACATTGGTTGAAGGAAATACTATTATTAAATAATAAAATATTTTTAAACAAAAAAACAATTTAATTAACATACAGCTGTACGAATAAAAGTAATAATAGTAATACATAATAATTAAAAATGTGTAATAGTAAGAACTGCAGAATTATAAATATGTAAAACTTAGTTTTGTTGTTGTTTTTATACATGCAAATAAATGTAGTTGGTTTATCATTAGCTTATTTTTAAACGGAGAAGAGGGTGGGTTTTTACAAGAAATAATACGGTAATCCTTAAATTATTTTAAAACTCAATTTTAAAATAACTAAGATTTTACAAACATAAGTGTGTGTGTGTGGTGGCGGGGTAGCTATGGGTTGGGCAAAGTTTAATGTTTATGCAAATAAAACTTATATAAATGACAAATAAAACGCTAAAACGACTAAACAATATTTTTTACAAATAAAAAAACAATCAAAGGGACTTTCTCAAAAGTATTTTTTTGTTCAACTTAAAAAAATAAGAGATTCATAAAATTCAGTTTAAATTATTATTATTATTTTTAATCATCCTAACTAACCACGTGGCGTGTTGAAATCTAATTTTTTTTAAAACAGAGAAGAAAAAATTCTAATAATATTCGAGCATTTAGTTATCTTTGCACCAGAACAATTTATGACTTCTGGCAGTCACTCACTGTCTTGTAGGCTCTATGAGTTTCTGTCTTTAGAATTACAAGTTTACAAGTTTTATAAGTTTACTTCGATTTCGTAAAAGGATGAAAATGCAAAACAGATTAAATTAAGAAGCTACCATAAACACACATTCTTCGACCATACGAAAGAGAAGACAAGGCTTTCAAACATTCACAATTGAGAGAATATTTTTTTTAATAAATTACATAAATATTGTATTCTGTTTAACTCTATATTTAATATTTAATTAACACATATGTATGTATTTGAATTTGTTAAATTAACAAGTATTCTAGATAAGTATTTAAGTTGCTGCTGTGAATATGAACAAGCCTTTTTGTCTTAATAGAGAGATTCTATTTTCTGAGATTATTTTAAGACACTCTTTGTAATTGTATGTGTGTATGAAAATGGTAGTGGGATTCATTCCTCTGCTTTTGTATATATGTGTGTGTATGCTTTACAGTATTTAATTAAGTTTCGGGTTCTTTTTGTTTTAATTAATCGACATTTTTTCTAGATAATGACATTATATGGCATGTAGTTGTTGTTGTTGTGGACTTGGATGAGCAGGAGTAGTTTGGTTTTGTAATTTATATGGGTACATAGTTTCCTTTTGGCTTGTAAAACAATTGACCACGCATCAGTCGGCGACGTATTTCGGCAAGCAATAAACGTTTCTCCTTTTGGATTTTCTTCAGTACACCCTTGTTTTCTTGTGCTCTACGCGAGAGATATGGCAAGACTTCCTGTACGGGACCGTACGGTATGTACTTATAGGCCGAGTAACCAGCTTGACCTGCAAAGGAGATAATACAAAAGCGATTAGAATTATTTAAAACATGGATTCAAGTTAGAACTTTAATTTATAAAAAAAAAAAACATTTTAAAAAGTATCAACCGCACCATAAAGATTGATAGTACATATCCCATATGTACCCTAAACCATATGTTAGTACAAATATCGGAATGTGCATTCTTTGAATGGAACTGGGGAACATTTCCGGATTTTATAAACGGTAGCAGAAGGAGTGGTCCGATATATCCATTCTTCGCACCAGATCTGGTGTTCGTAAAAATATTGGGATGTGCCAAGTTTGTATTTCACGGCGGTTATGAGTATTCAAAATTTAGACCCGTTGTATGAGAAGAAGGTAACCGATCTATGCTATCTTCACCAAAAAGATATAAGACTGGTCGAAATATTTGGATATGCGAAATTTTAAGATACCAGGCTCTTCCTTCACTTATTATAAGCGTTGTGATTATAAAAATGTTTACCCTTTTTGGGAGAGGTACCAGAAGATATAAGCCGATATTGTACTTTTTCACACCAAGCTTAGGTCAAATTGTATACTTCGTCAATTTTTACCGCTTAACAAAAAAATATAAGGATGTGCCAAGTTTGGACCAGATCAGACACTCATTTCGAGAGTAATAGTGCGCACCAGCCAACCAGACATACATAATTGTTTTCCTTATCAAATGATATATACCATATAGCTGAGGGTATAACGAGAGGAAGTCCCTAATATAGATTTTGTAATTAAAATCATCTCATGAGTTGTTAGGATTAAATGAGCCCCAGAATGCCTCCTATAAACAGAACAGCTTCAGGGAGTGTTTTGCGATTTTTAGGTGTATTAAAGAAGTTCCTCTAGCTAAAGAATATCTCAGGAAAGAGTTTTATCTAGGGAAGTTCATCATAAATTTATTTCATATGTAGAATATGTAAGCAATGTCTAAAGAGTAACTCTGGATGATCTCCTATTTAACAAGTTCTACCATCTATAGCAAACCTGAGAAACATAGAAAATGTTCAAATTCAATCCCCAAGTTCATACGGCATAGTCTCCTCCAAAAAGAATGCTTCGAGATGTGTCGGTAAACGTCACACTTACTTATATTCCCATCATTGGGAACCAATGGGCACCAATTAATCAATATTGCTTCTTCTTAAAGAGAATCTGAGCCTTCTCAACTTCAAATTAAATCTGCGCTGTCGTGCTAAAGGACAGATCTGTCGTGACATAGAGAAACATATGGGAAATATATTTTTAGATTAAAAAAATTATTTGGCTAGGAGCGCTTAGATTACTAGAATAACGAGTCTGATAGTGGTCAAACACTCGATAAAAACACCCCAATACCGATAACGATAAGTCTTAGAATGATGACTCAACGACTGAGAAGCAATTTGAACAAAAATCATTTTCGACGAGAAAACAAGTACCTACAAATAAACGGAATTAACTCACCTAATGGGAAAGTAATATAATCGCACATGCCCAACAATTGACCGAAACATATGACCTTATCCTCGGGTGAAATACCGATTTCCTTCATTTTCTCAATGGCATAACGAACAGTGTCCTCGTTGTGGGATGCTACCATAATACCGATCTTCTTTGCATCTTCACCATTATCTTTGAGTATCTAAAACAAAAGAAGAACTCTTTTATTAAAAACAAACGATCTCAATTCAAATTGTCCAAAACTCACTTTGATTCGTCTCAAACATTCAGTTAATGTTTTGTGGTACATTTCGGTTGTAGCTTCATAACTGGGATTCACTGGATCGGGATAGCCTAATGCTTGGGCTCGGGCACGCTCTTGTTCCATGTAAGCGCCGCGCACTAATTTAGCACCAAAATAGAAATCTTGGCGTTTGGCTTGTTCCAAATCGGTATTAACCTATAAAAGAATAAAAGATGTTGTTTAAAAGAAAGCCTTAAACAACAAAGGCTTTTCTTGTTCTAATGCTTACCTCGCGGAATGCTTCGCGCAAATAACACTGGTATGTATTGAATACAATTGCCTTTTCTTTATTGTATTTACGCATCATTTCAAGTGTAATACGGGAAATGGCCGGTTGGAAGTAAGTTTGTTCGGCATCAATCATAATGCGAACATCCAATTCAGCTGCAGTCTGCAATGGGAAAATGAAAAAACAACGTTTATCTTTCAAAAGTTCAAACGAAAGATGAAATTGAAATAGTGGAAACCTTAGTCATATGTAATGTGTCATTTTCATATAGTAGTATAGCATACTTTAAGGAGCTCCCAAAAATTTTAACAATTATACAACACTATACTTCCCTACAAAGATCTGTCACCTTTAATCTTTCTTAACTTATAATATATGTCAATGTAGTTCTTTGAAACGCTCGAATAATTTAATTAATACGTATGCTTTATTTATATTATTATATTTATATCCTCCATAGTATGGAGGGTATATAAAGTTTGTCGTTCCATTTGTAACACTTCGAAATATACATTTTCGCAAAGTATAAAATTATATGTCGATTTAGCGATGTCCGTCCGTCTGTGGAAATTACTCTAGCTTCCGAACGAATTGAAATAGATTGATAAAATTTTACTCAAATGTATATTATGTCTGCAGGACTTTTGGTATTGAAAATGAGCCATGTAGGTCCACGTTTTGGTATAGCCCCCATATAACGGTACCTCCTGATGTTCGGTATTTTGATGATTTTAGCGACATTATTCAGCGGAATTGTTTCAAATTTGGTATTTAAAGTTCGTAATGAATACTTCAGCCTAAGACAGAAAATTGTCTGTGCAGGACCACCTCTTCGTATAGCCCTCATATAACGGTACCTCCCGATATTCGGTGTTTTGATGATTTTAGCGATATTATTCACCGGAATTGTTTCAAATTTGTTATTTGAAGTTCGAAATGAATACTACAGCCCAAGACCGAAAATTGTCTGTGCAGGTTCACGTCTTCGTATAGCCCCCATATAACGGTACCTCTCGATATTCGGTATTTTGATGATTTTAGCTACATTATTCAGCGTTTTTTTTAGTTTCGCCTTTTTTATATTGTAATGGCTTATGACAAAAGTTACCTATGCAGGTCCATGTCGTCGTATAGACCCGAATATAACACCACACTCGGTATTTTTAAGATTTTAACAGAATTTTTAACGAATTTTATTGTTTTTGAGAATTGCCAAATTCGTTCCAAATGGTGGAGGGTATTCAAAATTCAGCCCGGCCGAACTTACAGCTTTTTACTTGTTTTTACATAAATATATTCATGTATTTCTCTTTATTAATTTATTCAATATCATAAAGCGTCTCCATTTAATTTAATAATTCTAGGGAACGTCTAATAGTATGCTAAAGAATAGTATTCTAAAGAAATGTGGAAAAAATAACTTTTCTCAACCTTGATTAGAATGTTGATAGTAACTAAGAAGTGTAATTAGTTAAAATTTCCAATGTCGGAAAGCCAAATTCTAATATGAATTCTAAGAAGGCATACCGAGAAGTAGTTCAAACCGTTACTTCAACAACCTGACCATTATGGAAGGAACAAATTTTCTAGATTTCTCCAATAATTAACACCGATGATTTGTCATGAGAATAACGATAACAATTTAAATCTAATCAATGCATATAACTATTTCCAAACTACATGAAAAAGCCTATCCCATGTCTACACAAGTCTTAATGAACAAATATCGCCACACGTGAGTACATACATACCTTAACAATAGTATTCAAACGACGAATCATATTTCTAAACATTTCTTCCTCTTTGGGCGGAATTTGTGAGATCAAACGACGCATTTGACCAGTTTTGGGATCGGGTACTCTGAAGGTGTCACTAAGCTGTGAGTCTTCATCTACAATACCGGACCAGGGGAACAAATGCAAAATACTGAAATAAAAAACAACAAATTCGAAACTTATTTCAAATTTCAAAACACAAATAATATCAGATTGTTTACCCTTCTTTGTCGGAGGTAACATTTTTCAAGAAATCCTGAACATTTTTATTGTCGCCCAAACTGGCATAATATTTTTCCAAATCCTTAATGGTCTTGTGATGGGTTAAGACATTGCCTTGACCACCCACCATATCTTCCATGTATTTACGTGTGCGCATAATAACCTCGGACAATTGCAGCTGAAACGAAACAAAAAACAACAACAGTAATATTAATAAAATGAAAACGCCTAACTAGCAGGACGACCAGGCATAAAATATGAAGACCATGGGTTTGCGTGCAGACCCATGTTTATTACATACCAAGAGTTGAGGACGACCCAGGGCGGTTAATTTGATGGCTGTAATACCAGTGCCAAAGGTAGCGCCTAAAAATAACAGACATCATAAAAATAAGAATACAATTAGAAATAATGATCATAAAGTGTGCAGAATATCGAGGGCAAACATGGCCAGAGAGACACTTAGCAAATTAAAAAAAGGAAAACAAGGGAATATTAAAATACCCAATGATGAATACATTTTAAGTAGCTGTATGTATGTTTCAGCATTACTGTACAATATTTCATTTCATGTTTCACATGATAAAGGCTTGTTCTTATACGTATATGTATGTACATATATAATACAAAAGTTATATATGGAATATATAATGCAAATATAGGTCAAGGTTCTCAAATGTATGCTTATCGAACTTTTTTACTCTCTGCCGACATGTTCTCGTCTATAGATCAACAATATTTTTGTTTGTTGCCTAATTTCTCCTATTTTTTATTGTTTATAATTTGCACGGGTACATGCGTGTGCGTGGGAGGCATTTAAATATAAACGGACATAAAAATGATGCGGCCAAAAAAGAAATAAAACTAATAAAAAGCATGAGAAATTTTTAAATTTAATTTTGTTTTAGTCGTAATATTTAGATTTAGACAGGCGAGAGTCTATCCCACATAATTGCACCATAGCAACCTTGAGGGGGTAATATATAATACATAAGAGTAATAATATATTGTAAGAGTATTAACTGAGAATCAAGGCCAAGGATGTGTAGTCATGTGAAAAAGCGGGGGTTTTGCAAATTCGTACCTAAAGGGCACGAAAAGTACTAACATGTACTCAAAATTTAATAGTTTGTTTTGGACATACGGAATGTGCTAGAATTCTAAAATTTGGAATGAAAGGGTTTTTGGAAATCCCAACTTAAAAATTACGACAAGTTCTAAAATAGTACTAAACTTCTTAAATGGTACCATTTGGTATTATGTGATCATTTGTTTGGATATATCTTCAACAGATTTCGGGTTAATTGAGCACCAAATGGCCAATATCAGTCCAATGGACCTGAATTTTGGCACATCCGACCGATCAAAAGATCAAATTTGGTGAAAATCGGTTCAGACGAATTATGGCCTTGAAACGGCCAATGAAACCGTCACATGCTGCCCGAATATTGGAATAGCTCCCATATGTATGTTTCATCCGATTTGGTGTTTAAGTCCCTCACATTAGTAACATGCACTCCACAAGAAAGATATTTGGTACCAGATATCAGATACAGCGCAGAAATACCTCTGCCTGATTTTGGAAAAATCGGTTAAAAATTTAGATATAGCTCCCATATATCCTCAACCGATTTCGGGTTAATTGAGCACAAAATGGCCAATCAGTCCAAAATTGGATATGCCTTCCATATATTAGTTCCCTCTGACACCAAACTGCTCTTAAGCCAAAATGCTCTTAAGCCAAATGAGCAAACGAACTCGCTTCTGAAACTGAAGACTATGTTTATTTATGTTAAGTATAATTTTAAGTGGTATTGTGTCATTCTCTTTTCATACGTCTCAAACATTATCGAAACAAATTGATGTAAATATATAAAAAATCTCTTCCATGTTGGAAACTTCGATAACTACTATATTATATTGCATACTTTGAGGCATAATCTTTATTTAAGCAGAGCTTAGATTCGTCAATAGGTAAGGCGTACTTAAATCTTGTTTACACAGGACCGTCCATATTTAATGTATTTCTTATTTCAGAACATTAGGGAATTTTTTAGAATATTGAAATTAACAACAATTAATTTTAATCCTTACATAAAAATATACTCTAACGTTCCTACCCATAGTCCATCAATGTTATTTAATAAAATGCAAATTTCTACAACGTATATGTATAACACGGCAATGAGAACAACGCAGAAAATTGTTATGTGTCACACCATCAGTCAGTCAAGCATGCATGATTGCCAAACTGTCATTTGAGGCATTTGTGATGTACCTATACTAATGCAGGTGTCTATGCTATTCTTTTTGAAAAGAAAAATTCCAAATGGATTTGGGTATTATATTTTCTATTTCAGCAAGTCAACGTAAAATGGCATACAAATCGCTGGGCAAAATATTAAACTCAAGGTTCTTCGTTTTAAATTTCTATTGTTTGTCTATAGTGCCAATGAACTTTAAATTCTTTGTTGGCAAATAACAATTTTTCAATTATTTCACATTATTTTTCCTGCAATTGCGTGGGATGTTTGAAAATATTTTGGACGTGTTAATTTCTTTTATTTTTTTTTTTTGTCTTTTGTCTTGGCCAAATAATTAGAAGGAAAATTGCTAATAAATTTAAATTTTGTCAAAAAACCACACAATGGAACAAAAAAATTAAAATAAAACCACCAAAAAGCCGTTAATTGCATTTTTGATCTACGTTGGGCGCCATGTTTGGGGTCTAAAGTCTTATCGTTTCGGTCTTTTTTTGAAAAAATGTTTGCATGATATAGATATGGTCACATGAGAAAGTTGTTTTTAAATCAACAAAGTCCACATATTAAAATATTAAATATTCTTCTGATGGAAACCACAAAAGAACAAGTTAAAAAGCAGTAAGTTCGGCCGGGCCGAACTTTGAATACCCTCCATCATTTGGAACGAATTTGGAAATTTTCAAAAAATAAAATCCTTAAAAAATTCTGTCAACATTTTTAGAGTACCGAATATAACCGTTATATTGGGGTCTATACGACGTGGACCTACATAGTCATTGTTTGTCATAAGCCATTACCATATTCAAATTCGAAACTTGAAATAAACGGTGAATAATGTAGCTAAAATCATCAAAATATCGTATATAGGGAGGTACCGTTATATCGGAGCTGTGCGTAGACCTGGGCCAGGTCTACGATTACGAACTTCAAATACGACATCTCAAACAAATTCGATGGGTATTGTACCTAAAATCGTAAAATACCGAATATAGGGAGGTACTGATATATGTGGCCTATACGAAGACCTGGACCTGCACAGACAATTTTCTGTCATAGACTGTAGTATTCATTACGAACTTAAAATACTAAATTTGAAACAATTCCGGTTAATAATGTCGCTAAAATCATGAAAATATCGAATATAGGGAGGTGAAGTTATATGGGAACTATACGAAGACGTGGACCTTCATAGACAATTTTCTGTCATAGGCTGTAGTATCCATTTTGAACTTCAAATACCAAATTTGAAACAATTCCATTGAATAATGTTTCTAAAATTATCAAAATACCGAATATCGGGAGGTACCGTTATATGGAGGCTATATGAAAACGACAGACAGACGGACATCGCTAAATCTACTTAAATCTAATAAATCTAATTTTACGCTGATCAAGAATATATATACTTTGTTGGGTCTGACATGAGTATTTCGAGGAGTTACAAACTACAAACCCTCCATAGTATGGTGGAGGGTATAAAAAACATCAAGCCAAGATGTATGGATACATAGGCCAATAATGCATAAGAACAGAATTCTCGATAGGCTGTACACGGGTTTTCTTTCAACTCATTTTTGATATAAAATCTTCTTATACAAACATGGTAGGAAAATCCATTCAATCGGCCTGTAGTGTAAGAATTTTTTAGTTAGGGCCTTTCAAATTAAAAAAATAGTATATAGACCTAAATCAATCCTTAATAAAATGTTGTATAGTGTGAAATGAAAATTTAAAATGAATGCGGCAAGCAAAATAGCATCAGTTGCAATTTGGAAGCCATTTTTCTCGTTACCTCACAATTCGATGAAGTCGATGTCACGGAGGAAAGGATTAACACCCAGACGAATCCCAAGCTATTATTTTACTCACAAACATGATTCAATGTCTTTGGGGAAATGTTGTCATGTTTATGAGAAAATATCCTTGGCCAACGACGAGGGATATAAAATGCTCAACCCCATTGTGCGTTATGTTCTTCAGTAGGTCCAGCAGTGCCAGAGTACTATTGGTATTAAAACGAAAGCACAATGATTTCACTATTTCAAAATAATGCGTCCATGAATTTCTCTCATATTATACCAATCTAAGAAAAGCTCAAGCAATTAAAGCTTTGCAACCAATTGTCTACTTTATGTTCTGGAATTCTTGAAATCGCATAAATCAACATGCAATCGGAAAATACATTTAGGCTTTAAATGACATTGATGTGACAATATTCAGACACAGTAAGGAAATGTTGTCACTGTTGGATAAGAGGGGTGTATCCAAAAGACTAAGACGGAAAAGCGCCGCTGAAGTTTTGAGTGGGAAGAAGAGAGTTTTGACACCAGCAAACTACAAAACTGCCGAATCAAGAAGCAGCGTAGGAAATGAAACTTAAACAAGTAAAAAAGCTATAAGATCGACCGGGCCGATCTTTGACTACCCTCCACCATTTGCAACGAATTTGGCAATTCTCGAAAAAAAAAACCGTTAAATATTCGGTTATTAGGGTCTATACGACGACGTGGGCCTGCATAGGTAACTTTTGTCATATGCCATTACAATATTCAAATGCGAAACTTAAAATAAATAGGTGAATAATGTAGCTAAAATCATCAAAATACCGAATATCGGGAGGTACCGTTATATGGGGGCTATACGAAGACATGGACCTGCACAGACAATTTTCTGTCTTAGGTTGTACTATCCATTACGAACTTCAAATACAAATTTGGAACAATTCCGGTGAATAATGTCGTTAAAATCATCAAAATACCGAATATCGGGAGATACCGTTATATGGGGGCTATACGAAGACGTGAACCTGCACAGACAATGTTCTGTCTTAGGCTGTACTATCCATTACGAACTTCAAATACCAAATTTGGAAAAAGAAATTCCGGTGAATAATGTCGCTAAAATCATCAAATAAAAAACGAATAGAACAATGACGGACAGGAGTAAAAACAAACAAGTAAAAATCAGCTAAGTTAAGTCGGGCCGAAATTTTAATACCCTACACCACTTGGAACGAACTTTCAAAATGAAAAAAAAAATCGTTAAAAATATGTGTCTAAAATTATCAAAATGCCGAATATCGATTGGTACAATCGTGAAAATGCCAAATATAGGGAGGTACAGTTACAGGGGGATACACGAAGGCGTGGATCTGCTTTGGCAAGTACCGAGTACCAGATTTTAAATAATTCCTGTAAAAAATTTGACTTAAACCTTGAAAATGCCGAATATCTGGAGTCTAAAATGCTTATATCGAGGAGTTACAAACGGACTGACAAACATAATATACCATCGACACTATATATGATGGAGGGTATAAAAATGGTATATCAAAGTTGTTACATGATTTGCTGTTGATTCGTTAGCAGGTTCCGCCTTCAGATTTTTAAATAGACCTTTCGAGTGATCTGCAGTACATGACATATTTCGATGATATATTTCCCCCAAATGTCCAGAAAAATCATTTCTTTCTCCGTACCCCCAGAAAAGACACTTTTGAAGGCGGCATACCTGGGGAAGAGTCTTATAAGAAGTAGTCTAAAACCTGTTTAGATCTAAAACCAAGACTAGAGATTATTAAAAGAAGAACATGTTGCCCTGTATGGAGGTCACGGAATATCAAAAACATTTTTTCGAGTCGATTTGAAACAGTAATAAAGGTAACCTCATTATACCCTCCACCTTGGAAAGGAGGAGGAAGTCAATCTGTCTGACGTAGAGCAAAATTTATGAGAACAATTTGTATTGTGCCTAGGATGGTTGGTATTGAAAATGAGATATGTCGATCCACGTTGTGGTATAGCCTCCATAACGGTACCTCCCGATGTTCGGTATTTTGTTTCACTGATTTATCTGAAAATTGGTATTTTTAGATCATAATGGGTCCTAGTTCGTGTGGCGAAACATTGTATGTAGAGGTCCACGCTTTGGTATAGCCCCCATATAACGGTACCTCCCGATTTTTGGTATTTTGATGATTTTTGGCACATTTTCCCATGAATATGTCTAAAAATTGGAATTTATGGGTCATAATGGCTTCTAATGTTTCCTTTACTGTAAGGTGGAGGGTATTTAAAGTTCGGCCTGACTTAATGTTTATACCCTTCACCACAAGGCGGTCAGGGTATTATGTCTTTATGCATTTGTTTGTAACAGGCAAAAGGAAACGAGATAGACCCACAGTTCCTTTTGATGATCTGCATAGAATCACGTTCTGAGTTGATTTATACATGTCAGTCCGTCTGTCCGCCCGTCCGCCTGTCCATGTATTCTTGTGAACAAAATGGAGGTCGCATTTATTATCCGATTGAGATGAAATTTTCCAAACAATATTTGTTTGGCCCAAGGACGAACCCTATTGAAATTGGAGATAATCGGTAAAAATTTAGATATAGCTCCCATATATATCTTCGTCCGATTTGCCTTTTATTGTGCACCAAACGTGTAATATCAGCCCGAATAGTATGAAATTTTGCACATGCAACCAAATTAGGCCTGAAAATAAGTATGCCAAATTTCATCGTAATCGGTTCAGATATAGCTATAGCTCCCATATATTTTGTTCGTCCGATTTGTAATTTTTGTCCTCCGCAGCCGTAATATGCACTCTGTAACAACAATATTTGGGGAAATATATCAAATGCAGCTCAGAAAAATCTTTGCCAAATTTTATCGAGATCGGTTCAGATTTGGATATTGCTCCCATATATAACTTCGTCCGATTTACCTTTTATTGTGCACCAAACGTCTAATATTTGCCCAAATGGGATGGAATTTGGCACATACGACCGAATTGAGTCTAGAAGCTTGTATGTCGAATTTGGTGATAGGTTCAGATATAGCTATAGCTCCCATATATATTGTTCATCCCATTTGTTGTATTTGTTACCGACAGCCGTAATATGCGGTCCGTAACAACGATATTCAGGGAAATATATCAAATACAGCTCAGAAATATCTTTGCCAAATTTTATCGATATCGGTTCAGAGTTGGATATAGATCCCATATATATCTTTATCTGATTTCAAATTAATTTTGCACCAAATGGGCAATACAATTCCGAATTTAAAAGATACAAATGCTTCGGCATATTTAGTCTTTTGGACTTTAAATTATAATTATAATTATAATCTTAGCGTGTAGGATTGAATTCTCCCATAAAAACTTTTAATTGTTATGTGGAGCTCTACTAAATTAGCAAAGTTGTGTAGGGTATCATAAAGTCGGCCCCGACTTTAAAACTTTTTTTTTTTTAACTTTTCTTGACATAACATTGTTCCCAAGCGTTATGCATCTACCTGTATTCTTCTATCATGCTAAATGACGTTTCCCTTTAGATAACAAATTGTGTGAGAGCGCCTTAAAATATGTTATAAGAATGCTCAACATAAATAAAGAAAAAGTTGATTCACATATGACGCTGACATTACGTGGAAAGCCTTTACAATAATGAATTTTAAACCAAAATATTTTATAATCATTCACCTTTTATATAATATGACTTCAAACAAGAGCATTTCAATCAGTTTCAATATCACACCAAATTAAATGCTACACCTTTAACATCATAAGAGATAAATTTAATTACTTCACCTTTGGATGTATGTATCTACCCTTTACCAACATTCTTACAGGATAACGTTTTATATGCAACTACAATTGTATACAGGCCACTAAGGGAACAATAACAACTAGCAGAGACACGCGCGTATTCTAGATTACAAAAAAAAATCAAGCGCAATAAAAATTAAAAAAAAAACTGCAATTGGATTAATGTTTACAAACAACTACAACACAAATGGTACATACGGAGGTCATACAATCAAGAAATAGATGAACAACACTAGTCTACCAGGCCACACGTTGGTCAGAGAGATGGATTTTTATTTTTTATTTCGCAACCGATCGTTTACACCTTTCTTTGCTTTTCGAACTACAGTTTTAATTGAAATTATTTTCATATTTCGGAATCTAACAATTCAGTGGTTTGCATAGGCTGTTCTCTAAGCTTTGGTATATATTTCATTTAGTATCGATATGATCGGTTGCAAATGTCAATAATCAATCAGCTGACATTGAATTTAAGAATTCTTTTACACCATTCTTGTGCCACTTCTTTCGTGCGATACACAAATACTAGTTCGAGAGATTCCAACCAAAATGGTTAGATGTAAGTGGATGTACTGTCCCTATAATCTCCGAGAAGAGAACAAGATCGCTCATCTCCATGCCGCAATCTGACCTAAAACTTGTAGTGGGCATCATCACAAATCACTGTAGCGTGAGATGCAGGACTTCTAAATAGAGTAGCGACGATATTGATTGCTGTAAGATCTGCCAAGATGGGAAAGAAATTGAGACAGTCGAACGTTTACTCTGCCAATGTAAAACTCTCTCATTAATGTGGGACACATATTTTTTTTGGGGAGCAAATAACGAACGATCTGTCTTCATTTTCTAATACAGAGCCTGCAGTAATTTTACAACTAGCCAAAAGATTTAAGTGGCTAAAGAATGAATTTTTAGTCGTAGATTACTATTTACTATTCTCTTTTTATACCCTCCACATTCTATGGAGGGTATATTGGCTTTGTCATTCCGTTTGTAACTCCTCGAAATAGTCATAATAGACCCTACAAAGTATATATTCTGGATCAGCGTAAAATTCTAAGACGATCTAGCGACGTCCGTCTGTCTGTCCATTTGTTGTAATCAGGCTATCTTTCGAAGAAATTGAGATAGAGGGCTAGTTTACCAGTAGGCAGGTTAAGTTCGTAAATGGGCCATGTCGGTCCCCGTTTTGGTATAGCCCCCATATAATGGTACCTCCCGATATTCGGTATTTTAATGATTTTAGCAGCATTATTTACCGGTTATTTCAAATTTCATATTTAAAGTTCGTAATGGGTACCACAGCCTATGACAAAAATTTTTGTATGCAGGTCCATATAACCCCATATAATGGTACCTCCCGATATTCGATATTTTGATGATTTCAGCAAGATTATTCGCCTGAATCGTTTTAAATTTCGAATTGGAATATCTTAATGGGCACTACAACCTTTGGCAAAAAATTTCGTATGGAGGTTCACGTCTTCATATAGCCTCCATATAACGGTACCTCCTGATATTCGGTATTTTCATGATTTTAGCGACGTTATTTACCGAAATTATTTCAAATTTCGTATTTGAAGTTCATAATAGGTATTACAGCCTATGACAAAAATTTCGCATGCAGGTCCACGTCTCATGGATTAGTAAGCTCATTTGTATGTGGCTACGATTGGCAAAAATTATTTTCTGGCAATAAGAATTTTAAATTGGTTGTGACCAAATCACAATTTTACAATTATTGAGTAACAAAAATGTTTATGAGAAGAGCATTGTTTTTGGAAACTTTAAATTATTTAAATTATTTGGGAAGTTTGTGAATTTAGATTTTTATATTTTAAATATATTAATTATGTTATACTGAATTTTGAAAAGAAATCACGTTAAATTTCGAAACAAAAGCCGTAGTTCGAAAAACAAATGAACATCAAATTTACTTACTATTTAAGAATATAATTTAATTATATTTTAATTGTATTTAAATGTTCCTATTTCATGTTAAATCTATTGATTTCCATAAAAACCGCCTCCATTACTTTCGTTAAATGATATCTCAAAACAACGGCTGTAGACTAGTGTTTCAACAATGTACACAACACAAAACTAAATTAGTAGAAAAAAACATCTTTGTTGCTTACCCTCGGAAGTGCGTCGTGGGAAATACTTCCCATCATCGACTTTAAAGGGAGGTGTTTTTTTTTAATGAATTGACATTAAGTTACGTTAGCGGGTGGGTGGGTTTGGTTGGTGGCAGCGTTCATTTAAAGATTAATTGCCAATGGTATGGTTGAAATGGAATGGTAAATTGATGATGGCCAGTCCGAAGCGTTGCAGTCGGTATTAAGGACACCAAGTGAAATTCGAAAAAACAAAAACAAAGGATGGGCCGACGACGACGACGATTGTTGTTTTATTTATTTATTTTTAACCGCAACACCACAATTTGATAATTGAAAGTGACAGCGACGTGTTTCACCAACGCATACGTGCCAATTAATTTGAAATACATTGACGGGGAAATGACGCATGACACCAGGGCCAGGACAAAGGATTACAATGGGAATAAGTCGTTGGGATGCGATGATAAAATTAAGGCAAATTGCGATATTGATCAGCCAGGATTTTCATGTGTTATTGAATGCATTTTGTTGTCGTTTCAAAGGTTTCGTATTTAAATTTTCCATCAAATTATAATTGTTAGTAAATGTTCCAATTTTGGTGACATGGATTTTTTTTTGTTAGTAAAGGTAAGTTTATGGAATGAAATAAAGAAATAGATAAAAATTAGTAAAATCAAAAGAATACAGATACGAATAAAAGATTTCTTAATATAAGGCAAAATATTTACAAAAACATTTTATTTTCGCAGGCGTCTCTTGTCAGTGTTTATACCCTACACCACATAGTGGTAAGGGTATTATGTCTTTGTGCATTTGTTTGTAACATGGAGATTCGGTTTCGGGTTACTTGTGCAAATGGCTATAGCGGCCCAAATGGGCTGAATTTTGACAATTACGACTTAATTCATCCTTTAAACCAGTGCTTCAAATTTGGTATAAATCGGTTTAAATATAGCTAGCTGTAGATCCCGTATCCCACGTTTTACCATGTAATCCACTAGATTTCAATTGTCAATTCCATACGTCAAGTCTTAAATACAGTAGAATATATTTGACGTATACGCAATGAAATTATCAATTGAAGTCCACTGGATATATAAGGTGTGTCTGGTTACCATAAAAAATTGTAACAATTGTAACAATTGTTACTGGAAGTCGTCTGTTAGCACAAAAATTCTTTATAAGAGAGCGATTCGAGAGACAATTTTTGACAGTTCTTTCATTGAGAGTTTGCAACTTCTTGCCGGACAAATTTTTCTTGCATTCGCTTACAACTCATCTTCTTCCCCATCTTCTTTTGAGATCTCAAGCCTAAGTGTTCTGTTTTTCGGCTCATTTTTAATTTTGCGTGCTTCGTTCTGACAATTCAGCTAATTGATGGCATGTTTATGACTACTTTTCATAGTTTATTTGTAAAGATAAAACTACCTTAAAGTACATTTGCACGCAAAATCTCTAACCGGAATCACCCTAATAATTGATAATAATTTAGGGAAAGCTTTCTATTATCAAATTTATTGTGATTTCTAAATTATCAGGATTCATCCGGGTAGAGATTTTGTATGCAAACGTACTTTCACTCTTTCAGAATGAATCTGCTAGACAATTCCAAATTCCTAAAAGTAAACGTTTTGTTTACTGTTTGTTTTTCTTTTGTTCTGTGATTTCAATCACAGTAAGTTGATAACACGTTTAGATAATCAGCTGTGGTGAATAGAATACCTATGGAATACCATAAGTACTATTATTGTCCATTTATGCAGCTTGTACAAAATATAGAGATTCTACTGTAAAAGTCATTTTAATCTGTCAAGAATTTATAAAAAATCGTTTGAAAAAAAAAAAGAAAAAATAAGAAACATATTTCTAGTATACACCCCAATAAATTAAAATTTGCATCTGTCACTACAATGACTAAATCAGAAATCGATATTCAACACATTTTCGTATTTGCGTTTCAGATGCATGTATGTGTTTATAAATGCACTTTGGTCAAATTATATTAGCCAAAAAAAAGTATGAAAAATGGATTTGTCATAAGAATATTATTTTATTCGGGATTATATAGATAATTCAAAAATTGGAAATATCATTTTTTTCTTTAGCCTAACATTATGTTTACGTTAGATCTTTTTACCGGGTTATAGACATTTATTTGACGTTTTAGCGATTGAATTGGAATTTAAATTAACTAGGTTTACAAATTCAGTGGCAATTCGCTGTAAACGACCTATAAGCTTGTAGACCTTATTACTCCATATATAGATTGAGATGAAAAAACTGTAAACAACTTCAGACTGCTGGCATCAGTTCTTTTGGCTCCTCCCCACAAAACCTCAATAGTTTGAATTATAAATCATATAAAATGTGAAGAGAGTGTTGCCTTCAAATTTCGCACATCCCTTTATTTCTAGATGGACGCAGCTCCGTCTGCAAAATTGTACGATGCCCGGCCCAAAAATTATAAGCGTCACATGCTTTAGACCATCATTTACGGTCTTCATCGAATTTGGGAACAATAAAAATATATCCATTCCGACTTGCTTGTTTTTTTTTTTTTTTTCTTTGCAAAGAAAACATGTTCTCATATTTTCAAATTCAAAAGTTTTGTTTTAATTTCAAATTTGAATTTACAGGGTGGAATGAACAAACTGCACCCAACTTCAGACTGCTGTAATTTCTAAGCCACTTGCCCGACAGCTGTTAAAATTATTCCAGTGACAGCTCATTACATTGTTTTCAAATAATACAAAAGCATTTTGGTGATAATTTTCCAGAAAATAAGTTATTCGTGATGGAATTCAAGCGTAATAGTTCGATTTCTTTATATTTGTCTGGAAAACCACAAGTGGCTATCGTTAGAACACTCCGGCATTTAAATGTGAATAAATCTTTTGTGTCTCGGAAACCCGCGTCGCAGTGGCGTAGCTCGACGCCAAGAGGGAAAACAGCACCATCAGCAGAAATGGTTCGAAAAGTAAAGAAGCGACTTAATCGAAACCCACGTCGCAGTGACAGAAAAATGGCTCGTGAGCTGAATATATCGCAATATTCAATTCGGCAAATATTGAAAAATGAGGTCGGGGTAAAGCCATTGAAATTCCAAAAAGTGCAAGAACTTACACCTCAACAGAAAGAAAATTGACTCAAAAGAGCAAAAGGCCGAAAGTGGTGAAATGCCGAATTTTGTTTTCTCCGATGGGAAAACGTTCGTTGTCCAGCAATTTGTAAACAAACAAAATGATCGTTTTTACTTGCCAAAGAAGTCAGCTGAAAATGTGCACCTTCGATTGGCCATCAGAACTCAAGCCCCGGCCATGGTGATGGTGTGGACCGCCGTAACAGTCGATGGTCGCTCTCCGCTCGTATCAATCGACCGTGGCATCAGAATAAATGCCGAATATTATCGTGAAATTATTCTGAAGGGTGTATTAAAGCCTTGGGCACGCAAACATTTTGGCCGCACATCTTGGACATTCCAACAGGACTCAGCACCATCGCACTCAGCACACGCCACCCAAGATTGGTTACTAAATGAGGTTCCTCGCTTCATTTCCAGCGCAAAATGGCCACCAAAATCCCCGGATACCAATCCGTTGGACTATTGTGTCTGGAGTATTTTGGAGAGCAAGGTTGTCACTAAAAATACCAAAGTGTCGATCACCTCAAGCAAGTGCTTCGCCGAGAATGGGCCAAAATACCGCAGAGCAACATTCGGGCAGCGTGTGACGGTTTCATTGGCAGTTTGAAGGCCATAGTTCGTGTCAAAGGTGACCAATTCGAACAAATCTAAATTTAAAACGAAATGAAGTTGATTGATAAAATTTTACTCAAATGTATATTATATCTGCAGGACTTTTGGAATTGTACCCCACCGAACGGTATTTTGATGATTTTAGCGACATTATTCAACAGAATTGTTTCAAATTTGGTATTTGAAGTTCGTAATGGATACTGCAGCCTGGGACAGAAAATTGTCTGTGCACGACCACGTCTTCGTATAGTCCCCATATAACGGTATCTCCCGATATTCGGTATTTTGATGAATATTGAATATTGTAATGGCTTATGACAAAAGTTACCTATGCAGGTACATGTCGTCGTATAGATCCTAATATAATAGCTACATTCGGTATTTTTAAGATTTTAACAGAATTTTTAACGGATTTAATTTTGAGAATTGCCAAATTCATTGCAAATGGTGGAGGGTGTTTAAAGTTCGGCCCGGCCGAGCTTACAGCTTTTTAATTGTTTTTGCCAAATTTGTTTAGTAAAAAATGAACGCCACATTTGAAATCTTTGCATAATTTTGCATATATTGTACCTTTGTAATGTGAATCGATATCCGAGATCCTAGATCCTAGACGATGAATTATAATGGTTATAATAACACACCCAGAAAAACTGAAATTATTTTATTTTCCTCAAAAGATATTCCCAGAAATGGAAACGAACATACCTAATTCTATTTGTTTCACATACCTATTGCATTGATAAAGCCCAGTACAGTCTAGCACATACTTTCTGGCTTAGTGTGGACACTTTCGTCAATCTATGCCAAAAAATGTGAACAAACAAATGTTTCTTTGGGTATTTTGTTTATTTCATTCCTTTTGCATTTCGATTTCATATCTTATTCGATTTTCGCTGTTGTCTTCTACTTTTACTATTTTTCGCCTTGTCAAATGGCCAAGATTACGAAATGAAAGGAAAAACAGATGACAATCGTCACACGAGTTCTGATGCCATTGGCATCGAGGTCTGGCAAAAATCGGCTGACAAGATTTTTTCCCACACACACACACACTGATGTATGTGTCGAGCAAATGCAGACGACACTTGTACCTCAAACGAAAATAAATTATTTAAATATAGTATATTATATCTATGTATATAGATGGGGGAGAACACACGCCCATATCTTATTGATATACATATATGTACGTATATAGAAATATATAAGGAATATGCGATGAATGAAATTAATTGTGCGCCACGTAAATTTTAACAAAGTCCTAATAAATGTTCGCCAAATATTTTGTGGTTTATTTACGAGATTTTATTTGCCATTCGTTATTCGTATTTCTGTTTTGGCTAATTTGAGTTACATTTACAGCAGCATCACCCGGTGTGATGTTGAAACAATGTAAAATACATTTCTTGGTAGCTTTCCTAGAAGTTTTTCGCGAGGATAAATCAAAATTATGATAACGGACTTTAATTAGGATAGGCAAGATTTGTCACTATGCTTGTTTTCTTAAACGATTTTGAAATAGTTTAGTTTTGAATGAGGGTTTCAAAAGGAAAGCTATTGTTATGAAGAATGCCAACCAAAAACCTTTAAGGGCTAAACAGAATGAGAGCCTTAAGCCATTTTAGATGTCAAGTATTACCAATACTATAGTTATACCCTCCACCATTCTATGGATATATTAACTTTGTCATTTCGTTTGTAACTCCTTGAAATATTCATTATAAACCCTACATATATATATTCTGGATCAGCATAAAATTCTGTCCGTCTGTCTGTTGTAATCACGCTATCTTTCGAACGATTTGAGATAGAAGGCTAAATTTTTGCATACATGCATAGTTTACCAGTAGGCAGGTTAAGTTCGTTAATGGTCTACGTTTTCACACAGCCCCCATATAACGGTACTTCCCGATATTCGGTATTTTCATGATTTTAGCGACATTATTTACCGGAATCGTTTCAAATTGGGTTGAAGTTCGTAATGGATACTACATCCTAAGTCAAAAAATGAGCCATGTAGGTTCACGTCTTCATATAGCCTCCATATAACGGTAACCCCCATATTCGGTATTTTGATGATTTTAGCGACATTATTTAACGGAACCGTTCTAATTTTGGTATTTAAAGTTCGTAATAGATACTGCAGTAGAAAACAGAAAATGGGCCATGTAGGTCCACGTCTTTGTATAGCCCCCATATACCGTACCCCCCGATATTCGGTATTTTGATGATTTTAGCGACATTATTTACCGGGATTGTTTCAAATTCGTATACAGGTCCACGTCTTCGTAGAGTCCCCATATAACGGTACCTCCCGGTAGTCAATATTTTGACGATTTCAGCAGCATTATTCACCGGAATCGTTTCAAATTTCGTATTGAAAGATCTTAATGGGTACTACAACTTATGGCAAAAAAAAATCGTATACAGGTCCACATCTTCGTATAGGCTCAATATGACGGTACCTCTCGATGCTCCGTATTTTCATGATTTTTGCGATATTATACACCGTAATTGTAACAAATTTCGTATTTGAAGTTCGTAAAGGGCCCTATAGCCTATGACAAAAAATTTCGTATGCAAATCCACGTCTTCATATAGTCCCCATTTATTTAAGTGGTAGTTTTCGGAACTTTTTTTTTTTTGAAATGTTTTAATTTCCTTCGAAATGGTGGAGGGTATTAAAAGTTCGGCCCGGTTCAGTCTGTTTTTAATTTAAGATTTTTTATGGATTTATTTTTAAAATTTAATATCAATTTTTCGTAAAACATTTTTCAATTTGTTAGCTATAAACATACATACATTCGAACTATTGCTACTCAAACAAAACAAATGTTTTGCTCCAAAAATGTTTAAAACCAACTTTCAATTCCCTTAATCGCAAACCAGTAAATATTTAACATTAAAACGTTAAATGCATGCAATTTCTAGAATGAGATTTTGAAAGCTAAACGAGCGCACACACAGCCACTCAACTGAAATTTCATTCATACTTTAATTGGCCCTAATTGATGTGGAGGGTCTGTTTTTGTACTGTGTGGGTTTTTTCCTATTATTATTTTCGTTAAAATGTGTTTTTTTGTTATTTTTGTTTTCGGAAGGTTAGTTGGCGTTGATTTAATTTACCTGAAACAGCTTCCAAACATTTAATGAACGTTTCCATGTTACGCTCACATGTAGCTTCATTCAAATAGAAATAGGTTCTGGCACTGTTGACCTTGTAGCGACGATCTGCAAACGACTTATCGACATGGTATTGGGGCATGGCATCGTCTTCTTTAACATCGCCGGCACTTGAAACTGAGGATCTATTAAAAAGAAATAACATATATTATTTTTAGGGTTAACATTTTTTAACGTAATAAATTTAGATTCCTAAGAAACATAACCTCCAATATCTGAAATTGACTTCTCAATAAAATAAAGGTTGATTAGTCGTTATAGAGAGAAGGAACTAGTGTTGATAGCTCACCAACGGGCTGTCTATTCAATTAACAATTCACCAAAAGGAGGGTCTAAACTAGATCACATCAAAATAGCTCATTGTCACTTACTAAAGAGTGGCTAATATTTGCTTTACACCGATACCTAAACTACACGTTATACAAAAATTCGTCATTCATTCCAGTGACAGTTCATTATATTGTTTACAAGCGTACAAAAGCATTTTTGGTGAGAATTTTCCAGAACAAAAAACAGTTATTCGTGACAAAATTCAAGCGTGCATCCGCTCAAATTGAGGCAATTTTCACTCTTTTCTCGAATTCGAGCGAGTTTTCAGAGGTCTGATTTCGAATGAAATCTACAGGTTTTCGATTTCAATTGACAATGTAATCAGATGAAATAAAAAAACATATATAAAAAATAGTTATTTTGACATACGCACTGAAATACACATGGATAATAAAAGTGACAGCACATATGTAAAACCCTGAGGGCTAAAAAATGGTTTCACCAATTAGTGTTTAAAGAGGAGTGAAGGTAAAGTGAATGTTTTATACCAGATTTTAATAAATTTACCGCAAATGTTCGTCTTTCTATTACATGAACAATATTCGATGTGTATTTCTGAAGAATATTCGACTGTTACATGCTCTTGTCATTACGTTATGAAAGTTGCCGTTAATATGTACATCAGAACTTCACAAAAAAATTAGAAATGCGCATTTTACTTCCGAGTTCGATCCGACAGCACTAATTTCCCCTTCCGAATATCCCATGGGTATCCATGCGAATTTGGTCTGACTTCGGTTCGAAATTCGGCTAAAACTTCCGACTTTCATACGACCCTTTGGTCGGACAACACGTCAACCACTCTATATAACTATCGGTCAGATGTCGGACCTAATTCGCATCCGACTTGCGGTTCGAAATTGAAGCGAGCTCGGATAATTTAGTTCTGAGTTATGTCATAAACAAACATAGATTCTCAACTGAATTCTTGCTTCCCATTGCTATTATTGATTGTCCATAAAGATGAATTCGTTTTAGGGATACATAAGTCGACTTTTGATTGATCGATTAATAAAGTTTTGATCTCAAAACCGTAGTCCACATTTGACAGTGGTAAAAATCTATGGTAGAAGAATACAGACAGTAGCATCGACACAGCTGCTGGGACTATGAACTGTATCTGTCATATACAAATCTACTTATTTTTAAGAAACATTTAAACATTTTTGACATATCAATGTTCCCAAGTGTTGATCCATCTAACCGTATTCTTCTGCCATGTATAAATCTCAAAGTTAACATTGAGTGATAGATTTTGGATTTTCAGATTATAGAGTTTCGATCGACTTTTCGTGTGAGACAAATTACATTCGATCTTATAATCTGTTGGCAGCACAACAAACTAAAATATCGAAATCGACTTTTGTCGACATTGATTTGATAAGTTAAAACGGTATATCAATTTTTATTGGGTTGGAAAGAATCTGCATGTCGAGCTATGTGCCCTCTCGAGTTCAGGGGCAGTAAATTTAGGTTTTCACTATGTTTTATACTTAACATATTGCAGGCAAATCTTTTTCTTCTGTTTTATATATTAGTTTTAATGTTGTCAATAACATTTTTAACTAGTTGTTGCCAATTATTTAACAAAAATATAATAACAAAACTTATGAGAGGTCATAGAGCTCGAAGCTTTTACCTTACTAAAAACTTTCTAACAGACGAAGGTTTATGGAGAGATCTTCCATAGAACTGAACATTTTCGACACATCTAAGTCGTCGCCTGTAAAATTTTCAAAATAATAGATACTTACTCAACTTCACGTTTCTCCGCCTCTTCCTGGGACAAATCCTCTTCAACGGAATAATCCAAAATTGGTTTAACACCAAATGAACGCAGCCTGTAATTTTCATTTGCCAAAAAAATAAATAAATATTAGTATATTTGTTGGAAATTGTTAATCATGATATTATTAATGTCAACATGCTTTAATACAAACAAAATATAATTATGTGGGTATGTATGAATGGAAAAGTGTTTGTGTATGAAACTATGGCTCAATGAGTATCGATGAACTCTAATGGAGATATTCGATCATGCTGAAAAAGGTTACGGTTTTTTTTTAGTTGTGAAATGTATTTGCTATCGCTTACTTGAACATTAAGATGGAGAGATTTAGTTGGAATTGATGACGAATTGAACTTTTAATAAACATTTGAATTTTTCCAAAACAAATCTAAAGCAATTTTCGTGTTTGTTGTGCTCCACTTTTCAAGCAGATAGAATTGGTCCATCTCGTTCAATGATAGGATGTAGGACGTTCACCTAGTTGCTTAGTTCATTTCAGTTCAATTTTACCATTTTCTTTTATTTTCCCGTTTCGTGTGAAAAGAGTGAAATAAAACAACAAACTAAACAACATAATACCAATTTTGCTTCGTTTTATAAACAATCGGCAAATCTACGTTTAAACATTGTTTTACATATAAATTTCAATAATTTATTGTGTTACTAATATTCGACAATATTGATAAGTTTTAATTATTTTTTTTTTCCTATAAAAATATAAAAAATGAACTATATGAACTAAAGGAAGTAGATAAACGAAAGCGTTGATATAGTTTCGATTGTACATTTCACAGAATAGTTTATCTAAGCCAGTTCATTTCAAAACTGCCCAACTTTTCAACTCGATCATCATCCTCTGATAATACTATTAGTTCGAACTAATAGAACGGTTCAACCCGCTAACTAACTTCATCCCTTTTTTATTCTGATTAAAAGAACTAGGTCATCGAAAGAATTGGTTATAGTTTCGATTGTACCTTTTACCGAATAGTTCCTCAGAACTAGTTCGTTTAGGAATTACACAACTCTGCTACCCGATCATCATAACACTTTTTTCAGTATTATTAAAGAACATTCGGTGCAATATACACTTCTTTTATGGAAAATTCATTACTTTTCCCGCAGAAGGCCATCAAAGTGAATTAGCTTAAACAGGGTGAGATGAAAAAACTGCAACAAAATTTAGACTGCTGTCATTTCTAAGCCAATCGTCCGACAGCTGTTAAAATTTTTCCAGTGACAGCTCATTAAATTGTTTACAAGCGTACAAAGCATTTTTGTGATAATTTTCTAGAAAAAAAGTTATTCGTGATGGAATTAGAGCGTGATAGTGTGATTTCTTTATATTTGGCTGGAAACTACAAGTGGCTATCGTTAGAGCACTCCAGGATTTAAATGTGGAAAGTATTTTACGTCTCGTACCATCGCTCGTTACCGGCATACTGGTAGCGTAGCCCGACGCCAAGAAGGAAAACAGCAACATAAGCAGAAATGGTTCGAAAAGTGAAGAAGCGACTTGATCGAATCCCGCGTCGCAGTGGCCGAAAAATGGCTCGTGAGCTGAACATATCGCAATATTCCATTCGGCAAATTTTGAAAAATGAGCTCGGGGTAAAGCCATTGAAATTCCGAAAAGTGCAAGAACTTACACCGCAACTGAGAGAAAATGGTGAACTGCTGAATTTGGTTTTCTCCCTTGAGAAAACATTCATTGTCCAGCAGTTTGTTGTGTTTATTTGCCAAAGAGGTCAGCTGAAAATGTCCACCTTCGGGTGGCCACCAGAACTCAAGCGCCGGCCATGATGATGGTGTGTGCCGCCATAACAGCCGATGGTCGCTCTTCGCTCGTATTAATCAGAATAAATGCCGAAAATATTCTGGAGGGCGTATTAAAGCACGCAAACATTTTGGCCGCAGACCTTGGACACTCCAACAGGACTCAGCACCATTGCACTCAGCACACGCCACCCTACAATGGTTACAAAATCAGGTTCCTCGCTTCATTTCCTGCGCACAATGACCAGCAAAATCTCCGGATACCAATCCGTTGCACTATTGTGTCTGGAGTATTTTGGAAAGCAAGGTTGGCAATAAAAAATGTACCTCAAGCAAGCGCTTCGCCGGGAATGGGCTAAAATACCGTAGAGCAACAATCAGGTAGCGTGTGACGGTTTCATTGGCCGTTTGAAGGCCCTAATTCGTGCCAAAAGTGACCAATTCGAACAAATCTAAACTTATTCTAAAATGTAATCCTATTTCCGACATTTTTTCATTTTTCATTCAATTAAATTAAAAAAAGGTAAAAATCTGGCGTTTGAGTTTGTCGCAGTTTTTTATCTCACCCTGTATGTATAACAATAGGCTATAATTTTGACTTAAACAAATAATTTTCCGCAATATTCAACATAAATCGCTTCATCTGATTGTGCAACATAAGCGGTAGCTTCTCAGGTATGCATGTGTGTGTGTCTAAATGTGAATATGTCAACGTGTTATTTTTTTGTCGAAATGTTTATTAAACAAATTGAATAACAATTGAAACGCCGGGGTGCCACATACACTTGGATTTAAATGAGCATGGGGTGATGATATACATTCATTGCCACATAAAAAGTATGATTTCTCTTGATGCTGGATGATGGTGATGGTGTTGTGTAACAGGGAGAGCGAGAGAGATGTTATAACATCTGTCACCGTGACATAATAATAAACCAAAGAAACGTACAACATATACATACACAGGAACATTATTAGAGAGAAAGAGACACATTTTACAAATTATGCACGTCCTTGACAGCGAAAAGTTAGATAGACAAAGAGACTGATTGATTGACGCACACAACGGAAAGAACGGAAGAAGAAGAAGAATGTGGAGAGTGTTGCTGATGAATCGTTTAAATTTTGATCAAATTCAATTTGAATTTATGGATCCACACAGAAAACGTTTTGAAATTTTGTGGAAAATAACGCCACCAACAGTTCACCAATTCAAGTAAAATTTGTTTGCCAATTTTTTTTTTCATTCTGAAAATAATTGAATTTGATTGTTTGTTGTCCGAATAATAGAATTTTTGAAGTTTGTAGATAAACTTTGGATAGTTAATTTAGAATATAATGCTGCAATTTGGAAGTGTAGAAGATAGGGATGATAATCATTGTGTGATTTAATTTAGGAGAGATTTGATTGCCATCAGGTGGTCAGCAATTTTGTGGAATATTCCTTGGTGCTTTTAGCCCACGGCGAGTATATTTTTCACTCGAAAGAACAATCTATAAACGAGATTTTGAAAATGAAAAAATATTATAGTAAGTTCACTTTACCGTTCGAATAGACATCGATCTTCGCCCTAACACGGTGGCTGAAAATAACCTATCTCAATTGCTGCGACGGTACCACCAACAGTCATATGTTTTTTCGTTAAAATCAAGTTTAGAGCGCCGATTAAGTCAATTCCTACCACGGTACCATGAGGTACAACCTTCAGTCATATGTATTTTCATCATGAAAAAATCTAAAGCAAGGGTCTAAACAGGGGATGGGTTAAAGATTTAAGACTTGCTGGATAGAAGCTAAAGTGGTAAACCAAAATTAGAAGTACTCAAAGTTTGCGAAACTTTTAAGTTTTAGCAAGTGAGGAAGCGGTAAGTTCGGTCGTGCCGAACTTTTAATACCCTCCACCATTTTGGAACGATTTTGGCTATTATCAAAAAAATTAAATCCCTTAAAAATCTTTGTTAAAATCTTAAATATACTGAATGTAGCCGATATATGAGGGTCTATACGACGACGTGGACCTACATAGGCAACTTTTATCATAAACCATTACAATATTCAAGTGCGAAACTTGAATAAAAAATCGGTTAATAATGTAGCTAAAATCGTTTATTGGGACTATACGAAGACGTGGACCTGCACAGACAATTTTCTGTCATAGGCTCTAGTATTCATTACGAACTTCAAATACGAAATTTGTTACAACTACGGTGAATAAAGTCGCAAAAATCATGACAATACCGAGTTTCGGGAGGTACAGTCATATTGGGACAACACGAAGACGTGGACCTGCATACGAAATTTTTTGCCATAGGTTGTAGTACCCATTAAGATATTCCAATTCGAAATTTGAAACGATTCAGGCGAAAAATGTTCCTGATATCATCAAAATACCGACTACTGGAGGTACCGTTATATGGGGGCTAAACGAAGTCGTGGACCTGCATACAAAAATTTTTGTCATAGGCTGTATTATCCATTGCGAACTTTAAATATGAAATTTAAAAAAATCCCGTTAAATAATGTCGCTGAAATCATGAAAATACCGAATATCGGGAGGTACCGTTATATGGGGGCTATACGAGAACGTGGACGGACATGGCCCATTTTCGAACTTAACCTTCCTACCGGTAAACTATGCATGTATACATGTATCTCAATACGTTCGAAAGAATGCGTGATTACAACAAGACAGACGGACATCGCTAGATCGTCTTAGAATTTTAGAATGATCCAAAATATATATACTTTGTAGGGTCTATTATGAATATTTCGAGGAGTTAGAAACGGCATGACAATGGTAATATACCCTCCCTAGAATGGTGGAGGATATAAAAAATTGCTTAATTTGTGGCCCCATGTAGTCAGTCCCCCAATTTCCGAGGTCATTGTACTCATCAAGGTGTGTCTATTTGGAATTGGGTAGCATAACGAACGTCCCTTATAATGAGGAGGTCGACACTATGGTGGAAGAAGCGAATGAACGCATTGCAAAGTACGTCCACAAAAACTTAAAGCACAAGCTTTAGATGAAACGAAAACTAAAATCGATTTTTAGTTTTGTCATAGCCAAAGGCAAATCAAAACTATAAACAACTCTATCTGTGTGTCCTGTATGGCTTGTGCGAAAACGAAAAGATCGAAATTCGATTAACCTTAGACGACTTTGCATGTTTTCCCACTGTCAAAAGTCGACCAATTGATTTATGGATCAATTGAAAGACGACTTACGTATCTTACATAGGAAGGTACCAAATTAAAGCTGTTTGTTGGCCTCCAAAATAGTCCACCCCAGGGAGGATCAGCTACATGGCAACTCTTCTCAAACGATTTCTATATAGCCAATCAGACAAAGACTTAGGGTAAGGCTTTCTATGTTTCGAACACATTGTTCTTACGTTCATGTCAAAAAATTTTAATGCTAAAATCATATTGCGTTGAACAATAAAAGACATCCAACAACTAATTGTCCAGGTGATATAAAACAACCTTCACAGAACCTTCAGACGACAACTGGTGTTCTGGGTCAATAAATTCGGCGTCTTACGCTTATATATGGGGCCTCCTATATATGATATGTTACAAAGCTTTCTATGAACATTTCAATATGTAACATTTTTCATTAACTCTGCCCAGTTATTTGAAAGAAGTCGAATCAAATCAAATTAAAATGAGTAGATAATGACAAATCGATCTTTCGCTAATTTTGACTGTGTGATTAGGATTCCTGAAAATCTCATGAAGAGTTTAGGGCATCAAAATTATTTTGGTTTTCAGGTGGTATTAATCCTCCTTACAAAAAGGTTTCCACCTCTGTTGTAGGTACATTGCAAGTTGAATCCAAATTTATAGTCGTTTTTGATCGTCAGAAGGTAATTCTAAAAAATCTGCAACAAAATGTGTTCCGAATTTAGAAAATTTCAACTATCTTCCGTGAATTAATTGTCAACATCAAGATTACGTGATACTCAACTATTTGATATATATTTTTTTTCAAACTTTCCCATCTTCTCTTCCAAATTGACAGCTTAAATCGAAAAAAAACTTCACAGCATGCATGGGGGAGTAGGTCACATAGATGTATATGGAAATGGACATTTACAAAACATATGGTAATGTAAATAAAAATCAATATAAGGAAGAAAAGAAAAAAAACCTCTCAAGTGTTGGCACAATTTTATGACGATCCTCGCCAGCGACGAAATGGCCATAGAACGAGGACTTCATTAAAAGGTCGAAGAGTGTGCCACCCAGGACAGTTTTGGCAAGTTTCATCAACTGTGGTTCAAATTGACAACGACAACAACAGCAGCAATGAAATGTCATTGCCCCCGCAAAAGTGCAATTGATGTTGCAGGACATAGTAGATAGATGTTTGTACGTGTGTTTGTGTATGTGGACGCGTATGTATTGTAATGGCATAAGCGGGCGGGGTCAAATCAATAAATAAATAGAATCCAAAATATCAAAAGCATTGGAAATGGAGTAGATGTTGATAAATCAGCCCCAGGTTTTCAAAAACAAAACATTATCCCGAGCATCAAAAAATAAAAAATAAAAAAAGAAGAAAAGAAAGAAAAGAAAGAAAAAAAGCGTTAATCAATTTCTGTAAAAGCTTTTAAAATTACCTTTCGAGTGTTGGTATGATTTTGATTTGATCTTCGCCAGCAACAAAGTGTCCATAGAATGTTGCCTTCATCAGAGCTGTAAACAATTTTTCTCCCAGTATTGTATTTGCCACTTTCATAAGCTATACAATATTTCAATTTCAAAATTCATTTCAATTTGCGTTTTACGTAATAGCATTTTCGTTTTGTTTACAAGGGATGAAATACGAGCAAGCAGAAGAAGAAAAGAGAAGGATTTGTGTTTTTTTGGAAAAGAAAAAATTACAATTTTGAATAGTTATTTATCAAAAAAAAAAATACATATTTTTTATTCAATCGTTCACACAGGTTCACACATTAAACCAATTTTAATATTTTTTTTTTTTTTAAAGAAAACTCATATTAAACAGAACGAAAATGAAAAGTTAATAATTATAAAAGAAAATCAATTAAGGGCAGAAATGAATAAATTAATACAAATTATGTTGATCAACTGACACTTAAAAATGCAAATGAAGTCAATTGATGAATTGTTAAAATCATTGTTTGTTTTAATAGAATATAAAAAAATTCCATATAAGCAACATTTGTTGGTGGTTTACATATAGAGATAAATTAAGAATATAGAATTATTATTACAAACAATTGCTCTGTTTCATAAAGAAACCAGTAAGGAAAAGTCAAAAGTCGGATATTCAAATGCGAAATTTGAAACAATTCCGGTAAATAATGTCGCTAAAATCATCAAAATTCCGAATATCGGGGATTCCGTTATATGGGGGCTATACGAAGACGTGGACCTGCACAGACAATTTTCCTACATTGCTCATTTTCTGTCTTAGGATGTTGTATCCATTACGAACTTCAAATACCAAATTTGAAACAATTCGGGTAAATAATGTAGCTAAAATCATCAAAATACCGAATATCGGGTGGTACCGTTATATGGGGACCTACATGGTCCATATTCTGTTTATGCTGTAGTATCTATTACGAACTTCAAATATTTGAAAAAATTCTGGTAAATAATGTCGTTAAAATCATCAAAATACCGAATATCGGGAGGTACCGTTATATGGAGGCTATACGAAGACATGGACCTACATGACCCATTTTCAATATCCTACAGATATAATTCATATTTGAGTAAAATTTTATCTACCTACTTCATTTTGTTCGGAATCTAGAGTGATTTCCACAGTACATATTCTGCCAAATTATAGCAAATTTGGGTAACAATTGTGACTTAAGCAGCCATATACAGTTATATAGCGGCTATATCAAAACGTGGAACTACATGGCCCATTTTAAATACCAAACGTCCAGCAGACATAATATAAATTTGAGAAAAATTTTATCAACCTATTTCATTTCGATCGGAAGTTAGAGTGATTTCCACAGACGAACGGACATCGCTAAATCGGCATAGCTGACCAAGAATATATATACTTTGTGGAGTCTAAAATTTATATTTCCAGGTATTACAAACGGAATGATGGAGGGTATAAAAAGAAACGCTCAATAGTACTGTTTATGCACTACTGTTTCAAGTTTAAAGTTAGTTGGGAGCTCCATAAAATATGCTATAAAAATGTAAAAAATACGAATAAGTCACTTTACATACGACTCTAACATAATGTGTAATCGGGCCTTAACTAATACATTATCATACATATTGTTTGATCTTTATTTGTTCGACACTGTTCTATACTTTTTTATTGACGTCAATATAATAAGGAATTACTATGACAATATTTTACAAAAACAAAAAAAAACATATTTTGTCAGCCAAAAGTTTGTCCACGGCGCTTATGAAATATGAATCTGCACCAAATTGAATCCATTTATGGGCAGCCAAAACTATAACTTCAATTCCACAAACAATTAAATATGCAATTGCAGATTTATCGACTTATTTGTAAGACGTCAACGTGTCTGCCACCACCCTCTATTTTAGATAAGCCAATGCACCAAGAAATGGGCGTTTTCACCAATATCGTGTCGTTATGTAAGAAACTGGTAATGGATTTGCCTCCTCTTTTTATTGTCGAACCTATCTGCCAGACAGGTTTTTGGCAAATAAATGAAGCATCTTTTTCAAATCCGAGAAAATAAATTTGTGAAAAAAAAAAAAAAAACAAATTTATCCCTGATTCTTTACTTCTTCGAAACATTTGACTGACAAGCGACAGCTGAATTGTAATGTGTGGCGAAATAAATGTGCCGGCTGCAATTGCTTAATGTCACGAGCGACATACTAAAAATAATACACCCCCTTCTTTCACATCTCTCAGACATAACCCACCCATCTGTCCAACCACCTCACTTCCTCCCAGTCAGCCAGCAGCGCTGAAACGCTGTTCACCTGATCGAAAGCCATTAAAATTAAAACAGCCCAAACAACAACAACAATTCTGGTCATTTGCAAATTACCAAACAAACGGAACAAATTGACACAGACACACTCACATCTGAGAGAGACATTTCATGCCAGTAATGACGATAATAAAAATAACAAACAAACAAACAAAACAATTTCAAAATTTGTTTGAATTTTAAAAATAGTAGTCTATATATTTCAGAGATACGTCGTGCTGTATACGTACAGCTGTCATCCATTTACATACAAACATAAACAGAGAGATACATACATATATAGTACATCGGATGAGTGTTGTGTTCTTGGCAGCAATTATCCAATACATTGTATTTGTCGTTTACGAACGAAAAAAAAATCATGTACGAACGATTGCATACTCATCTATATACGTGGGTAGTAAGCGAATTGTGACAGGTTTTAAGTTGAGGATATAGGAGGGCATCTTAAGAGGTTTCCAAAGCTAGATGTTCGACATTGTGCTTGGAGAACGCCAGATATTTTATACATAAATCCCCGTAGATGCTAAGGAATAGAGAGCTGTTCAAAGAATCATTTGTGTGATTTGTATACCCTCAGCCATATGGCTACGGCCAAAACGTGCCTTATTGAAATAACGGTTTTAGACCCTAGATCTCTTTGGACCGTTTCAGAATATTTGGAGTCCATCCGTCCGTCTGTCTGGCTGGTGCGCACAATAACTCTCAAAAGAAATATACGATTTAGTCCAAACTTGGTACATCTTAATTATTATTATCAAACTTGGATCGAGTTCGGAATCCTTATATTTGCATCAGTGCTAGGTCAGGTGTGAGAATGGACATTACCGGTCCACTTCATCAAGTACCTCTCCCACAAAGCGTCAAAGTTTTGAATATTCATGAAGCTCGCACAACGTGAAGTTAACATCCGGTTCCATTCAGACTTGGCACATCTCAATATTTCTATCAACACAAGACGTGTTATAAAGATGGCAGAGATTGAGCCATTCCTTCTGGTACCTTCCCACAAAGGCTCACAGACAATTTTCTGTATAAACTTGAAACAATTCCGGTGAATAATGTCGCTAAAATCATCAAAATACCGAATATAGGGAGGTACCTTTATATGGAGGCTATACCAAAACGTGGACCTACAATACCAAAAGTCCTGCAGACATAATATACATTTGAGTAAAATTTTATCAATCTACTGAAAACTCAAATTAAAGTCAAATCAATTGTCCTCAGTATTCCTAAAATTTGGGGTAGCATTGCGAGGCAATAAGTTTCAATAACTGTAAAAACTGATTATTTTAGCCAAATAGTTTTCTACCAGTTACAAGCCGTAATAAATTTTTTTTTATCACTATATGTTCAAAATACATTTTTTGCGAACCTAATAATATTACAAAATATCATATGAAGCCACTTCGACAGATTATGTGACCTCTTTACCAAACTTTAGTCAACACTTTTCGTAGGTCAGGTTTCAGTTTGAATCCAATATGCCAAAATAAATCAATTCTGTTTAAAACGACAGCTGACATGTGAGCTAAATGAGAGCTAAATGAGAGCTTTACCAAAAAGGACCTATGATAAACATTCTATAAATGGAGAGTTTATTTTTTCTAAGAACTTGAAATGCCATCTTATTTGCAAGGAAAAAGGGTCTGAGAACTTCGAGGTACGGAAAATTGTTTGCTCCCAAAATGGGATTTTTGATTTCGAATTGAGCGGCCACCGTAATATTAAGAACACCCTTTAGATCTATCGCGAGTTCTTTTTTTCTAGCATTTTCAGATAATGATACATAATCAGCTTGGCAACATGGCATGACATATTAGGTGTGTCTGGTTACTTTTCCTGCTGGAATTGTCCAGCAACATCTTTCTGAGAGAGTAAGGTAATTTTATTCTCTTTTGCAAGGAAATTGCGAAAAGTAAACAGACGGTATTCCTGCAGAAGCTTGCAACTAATCAGCTGATTTGTCAATACAAACAAACAAAGAACTAAGCAAAAGGAAGCACCACCAATTTCACAAGTTTTATAAATAAAAAGGAATTGACAATAAAATAAAAATATGAGCAATAAAAGGAAGATAGATATGATGTGTTCCGCGTAATCTTTTAAACCTGTTGCTAATGGTATTTGTCTAAAAATGTTGGAAATAGTCTTTTATTTTCTTATTACATATTAATATTTACTTTTTTCACATTTTGTAAAGTTGTTCTCCAAAAACAATTAGTCTTGCTAATTTTCAAATTATAATCACAAAAAGAAATAAATAAACAATAGAAAACATCTGATTGAATG